AAAATCCCCAATTATGGCCGACCCCTACTCTTATACAATGCAAAAATTAAAAAAAAAAACTTTTATCGATACGTTGAAATTTTCTCCAATTGTCAGTTGGAGCAATTTTAATACGGGATAAACCCGTGCTTCAGGTTCCTCACAAGTTATTATTATTAGTTCAAATTTGGTTTATTTACTGGGAAAAATTAGCAATGTTCCGCAGTATGGAATGCGCTTATAACTTAGGGTTTGTTTGGTAGCGCGAATTAATTGTTTTTACCGGTTGCCGTTTTATTCATAATGTTACTAGCACCTCGTATGTATAAATTATGCGCATAACTTTAATTACTAAACTGGTTTTTTAACGTAACTTGCCATTGCAAAAGATAACGCAATGGGAATGTTTTGCACCTTGGACCCCAACGCTTTCGCGGTAACAATTTATTTAAGCGCAAGAATGCACAGTAATGAAAAAAATGTACGCTCACGTATTAATACGGCAACGCTTCGCAATATTCCCTGCTCGAAGGTCTGGCTACGAATCCCATTCGCGATCGAAAAAAATGCAGCACTCGACCTATATAGTCTCACCGAATTTTTTATGGGTGCGCCTCTGTTTCCTTTCATTAGAGTATCATAAAGGATAAAAGCATCCCTCCACGATTGGACTTCGGATGAGAAAAAAGTTTAATAGTATAACTAGAAGGTATAAAGCACTTCGAAGATCTGACAATTATTATGATTAAAGCGAGGGTTAAAGTAAGGGATTAAATTATATCAGTTACTTCTTGTAACGGACATAATACCAAATACACATGTGACATGGACACGCAGTGCCGGATCTAGAAGTTTTTAGCACGGGGGCAAATTTGGTATTTTGCCGCCCTTCTTCCCAAACTAACACACAACTAACCACATGCAAATGATCAAGGCAACATAAAAAAACTGTTCAATTATTATTTCATACAAATAAAGAATATGTACAGCGCTGTGATCTCAAAGTCTATAATTTTGGAGAGTACCCTATCCCGTTCAAAGCTTAGCTTATTCCAGGTTTGGTTCTCGGGATTTCCCGGACACCAAATTAAAATTACACGAACCATGCCGACTTTTGCCGCCCCTATTGAGTGCCGCCCGGGGCACTTGCCCCCTTTTGCCCCCCTCCCCTTTATCCCGCACTGTGGTCACATAATGGTGTAAACATAAGTATACGTCTGTAAATGTTAGTATGTGTAGATGCAATATCAATATATCAATATTTGGTATCATTAGTGTCCCGATATTCCATAGCAGAATTTACATATTATGAAATATGCACATTGTAATGATATAGATAGTTTGGGCGAAAATGACACGAGCAAATTTTTATGCTAGACTTACAAAGGAAATTCGGTACTCCGGATGTCCAGTTATTCAACAAAATGGTGCTACTTCGCATAATGTCGGGATTGTAATTTTTGAACAGA